TAGCTCAACAGAGACAACACTACAGTGGGTATTCCTCTTCTGCCTCCCCATCTGGAGTTGAATTTCTTTACAGACTCTTCTCTGATGGGTTGGGGAGCACACTTAGATACACAGGAAATCGTGGATCTTTGGTCAAGGCGGCTATGCACGTCAATATGCTGGAGCTTCTTACTGTTCATCTGACTCTGGATCATTTCCTTCCTTTAATATGAGACAAAGTGGTCATGATCCATTTCAACAATTCGTATATCAATCGACAAGGGGGGCACCCATTTACATTTGCTTTATTTCCAGATGTTAGAACTCCTCTTCTGGGTTCATTCAGATTGTACAGGCCTACTGGTGTGTCATATTCTGGGTGCTTTGAACCTTGTTGTGGATCAATTATCTCATCATGACAAGGTTCTCCCCATGGAGTGGTCCCTTGATCCTCAGGTGTTTTGGTCATTGGGTGATCAGTAGGAGTACTCCTTTTCTCAAAGCATTTGCCATCCATCTCAATGCCAAGTTACCCCATTTTTGATCCCTGATCACACATCCTTTGGCTTTAGTGGTGGATGCCATCAGCCAGGATTGGTCTTACTTTTACCTGTATGCCTGTCTCCTTCCTCAAGTTTTATCTGTTATCCAGTCCACTCCATGTCAGGTCCTTCTCCTCACACCTTTTTGATATGCTGAATCTTGGCTTCTGGTTCTTAATTGTCCTCCTTCAGGCAGCACTTCTGTTACCACTTCTGCAATCCCCCTCCTTTGACAACCTCAGTTGCTGGTGTATCATTCCAATGTCCCCCCACTCTGGCTTCATGCTTAACGTTGGTCTGGGCTCTCCACATGGGTAGCTTCCATTCTTTCCCATTCTCTCCATCCTTCCTCCTTACTGATGTATCAGAGAAAATGACGTTTTTTGCCAGTGATATCTGTGCAAACGTTACCTCCCTTTCTGTCCTACTGTTCCTAATTTGTCTCAATGTTTTTATCTGGCTGTTTGACAATGGTTTTTCCATTTCTATCATTTCTGGCTATAGAGCAGTCTTGTTCAATACTTTCCATTTTTCCCATTCTTATTGAGTGTTTTCCTCTCAGGTCCTCTCCTTTTTGTTTTGTTCTTTTCATTTCGTTTGTCTTACTTTTCCTATTTACATTACTGTTCTGACCTGAATAATTTTCTCTGTCCTGCTCGAGCTCTACAATGTTATACTGCCTTCATGGCATTCCCATTCCCATTTGTTTATCCATTGGAACTCTTCCTATCTCCATGATACTTCCCTACCACCTTTATAGGATGGATTTGCCACCTTATTAAATTAGCTTATTCTTTATCTTATGATTCCCAACGTTTCTTCCAAGTGTCCTCTCATCAGATCTGGCACCTCTTTCATTCACTGGCTGCCCATTTCTATTGTCCATTGGAGGAAATCATTTGGGCTGGCATGTGGACCATACCTAACACATTAATATATCATTACTTTCATCATGTGGCTGTCTTCTCCTCATCTGCCTGTTGTCATTCTCCATACATTGGTTCATCTGTGAGTGGGTAAGTTTATATTTCTTTATTTTCTATTCAGGGTCACTAATATACATGTAAAATCCTGCTCTGTGGCAAGTGGTGCCTGTCCAGGTGTACTAATCCATAAATCAATGCTGTACAGCCATTCCAGTGTATAATACCCACTGTTGAGTTGGGGTGTTCCACAAGACCACAACAAGGTTCATTCTCATGGTGGTTTGTGTCATAACTATGTCTGTCCTAGACTGTACCAACTTATGCACTTTTATGAGTAAAACAGTGTCAAGAAAGCTGCCCATTCCTCTGATCCTGGTTGAATAAATTGGGACTAGCATGCTTCTAAAAATGGAGTTTCGTGGTCGCCCATTGCACTTTCAACAGTGTTGTATTCCTCCAGACTTCCCACCCTATTGTCCCCATCCCTCTTTTGAATGGAGTATGGGAGTCCTTGCTACTTACTAGCTCCTAGCTGCTAGCGTGGTGGACCATGGAGGCATACTCCTGTGTGTGCTCAATCCCATTCAATTGAGAGTAGGCTGGTGGTGTTCTGTTGGAATATATTGTGTGAATCCCCCTTCTACTGCAGCCCAGAAGAACAATACCTGACACTGCCTGATTATAGACTGGAGATGATCCACCAAAATGCAGTTCACCTCTCTGGATGGGATCCCTCCGCCTCCTCCTACCACATCCTGGATGTTCGCTCCTGGATGGTCTGGTATTGGATAAGAGATGAACCAGCCAATGTAAGTCCTCACACTTGTGGCTGGTAGGGAGTCCTCACTCTACTGCAACCTGGATGATAAATTCCCAGTGCTGCATGGTTTTGGATTTGAGTGAACTACCAAATTGCATTCCTCCTTCCTACCATCACTCGGATGTCGGTTCTAGTGTGTTTGCAACAGAATTAGTTTTTCCTTTCTGATTCCTAAACTTGAGGTGGACCGGGAGACAAATAGCCAATGCCACCTGGTTTTGGACTGGAGTTGACCCACCAGTTGCGGTCTGATGCACCCTAACCACTCTACTCCATTTGGCACGTCCAATTGCTTGTAAATGTGATGCTTTTCTGCCCAATTTAGTGACATGTAGTTTCATGATGGTGAAGAGTATACCTGGTTCAGATGTGGTGTAGTCTTTCACGAGGGTGTACCTCTATTGAGAGATGCTGTACTCCATGGGCTCTCTTCAGATGTCTTCCAAAGTGTGCTCATCTAGGTAAATTTTGCACTGGTCCCTACACCAGGTTAGTGTGGGATTCTAGCTATTATGTGAATGGAGGTAAGTTATCGTATCAGAAGATATAATTTGGCTAAACTGAAAATGTATTCCCAATAGATACTTACCTCTTTCACACTTCCCAATCTTCCTTCCCACTTTTGGTGCTTCTTTTTTTTGCCTAATCTTGAAGTGAAGATTCATTTTTACAGTATAGGTAGAAGTGTGCATCACACTCTTATTGGCGGAGGGTTGTTGCATGCTTATTTGCATGCTACAGTGCATTTGTATCATATTAAATATGTGGGTAAGTGAGAATATGAAGGCTAGTGGAGAGTGAAACATTTTGTGCATGTAGAGAGCAGAACTGAACTAGAAAGGCTATTATGTGGGAGGAGATATCTATTGGAAATACATTTTCAGTATTTTCAGTTAAGGAATATTACAACTTTCTTAACCATAACTCTCTTGATAGATATGTCCAGCTAGTTATAGCTTCTATTTTCCCTAGCTAACTTTCCTATAGAAGATAAGTTTTTAATGTCTTAATTCCAAGGCCCGGCATGGCCAGGTGGTTAAGGCGCTCGACTCGCAATCTGAGGGTCGTGGGTTCGAATCCCCATCCCACCAAACATGCTCGCCCTTTCAGCTGTGGGGGCATTATAATGTGATGGTCAATCCCACTATTCATTGGTAAAAGAGTAGCCCATGAGATGGCAGTGGGTGGTGATGACTAGCTGCCTTCCCTC